AAGACAATTGTTTTATTTGTAAACGATGATTTCTTTAGTCTAATTTCGGCTAACGGGAATCAGTAATTTTTAAACTAAAAAATTGAACATTGCATTGCATATAGTTACTTAATTATTCATATCTGAAGTATTTCAATTAACTTAATTTAGTGTTTAATGGATTGCGCCGCTCTTCTGTTCTTGCTGTCATTAGGTCGCTGGGGTTAATAAACTTGCGCAGTTTTCTTGTTTTTTTATTTTCGTAGTTATTTTCGTGTTTCTAGCAATTAAACATGTTTTTATTTTGTTTTTCGGTTTTTTTTTTTGACTGCTTGGCGCGAGCATCATGAATTTGTATTGTCGGAAGTGATACTTTACCTGTTTTGTTTTATGACTACTTTTTGTTATTATTTGTATGCTATTTATGGAAAGTGATGAAATGGGCACACTTTTGCTTTCATTTGTAGTTTAAAATTTGTTCCAAATTTGTTGCAGGTTATTGTCTTCCTGTCGCAAAACGGAAGCATTAATGCGTATTTAGGTCAAGGTTGATCTACGAAAACGATGTATTGCTTTAAAGTACTTGTTTAAAGTATGAATAAGATGAAAAATTAATAAAATATTAATTTCATTTTAATTTTAAAAATACTGTTAATCTGCGAGTAAGAAATTCAAAAACCTTGCTTATCGAACGCATGATAATAGGACGAGAAATAAGGGCAGGATTAGGTGAATAAAAAATACAAATGCTACCGGTCAGGGGTACCGCTCCTGTAGAACATAGCAGTAGGCAGCATCCTTCACGAACGAAGATATTGGTTTGAATACGCCCACGATATTGCAATAGTTATCTCAGCTAAACACTTCTCAATATTAGGCAAATATGAAAATATGGTCCTCTTAGTAAAGCAAGAGACCAAATATCTAAGTCTCATACTAGATAGGAAACTAACCTGGGGGCCCAACAATGCAGATATAGTGCACAAAGCAACAATAGCACTATATTCATTCAGCAGGTCAATATGAAAAATATGGGGGATGGAACTCAAAATAATACACTGGATTGCCAGATAGCGGCAGTTTGGCCAATTCCAAACGCTTGCGTCTACATTATTAACTCGTGCGATATGAACAGCACTATCTAAGGCACTGAATGACCTCTACTGAATTTTCTTCCGTTAATTCGTCATATACTACTTATGCTCATGATAGGATACTAACGGAGTTTTTGGAGCTTTCCGGATTGCTGGACTACACACTTCCGAACCCTGCTCCCACTACAGCTTTTATGACGCTCCTAACTTCAAGCAAAGAGTGGCGAGTCCGTTCTTGTATACACAGATGGCTCAAAGCTCGAAAGTAGGGTTGGTGGAGGCGTACATATACTCCGAACACCTGGAAATCTCCTTTAGCTTTCGTCTTTCCGACCACTGTAGCGTTTTTTAGACTGGTGAGGTCTGATATGATATCTCCAAGCTGATATCTACATACATTTTCACTGACATCCTTCACGAAGGAGTCGACAACCTCCGTGGTAGCCATGATATGAGTAATTTCCCCTAAGGTTGTTATGGGCTCCGGGACACTGCGTAATTGGTAAACATGTCTATCGACTGACGAAGAGGAGGAAACGATTCTGTACTTGTTGTGCCAGTGCTCTGCACTATGTAGACGAAAACTAGCTGGGTATACAATTCTGTTTTAACTTGGAGGACCTTAGATGCGTGGAAATCAAGGATCTTCTAAAATTCCTGCGAAGTTCTAAATATTTTTAGGGGACCCCATACCACAATGGCCCTTGAGCATAAGCATGTCTTATACATGACTGCAACTATCGAACCTGCTAATACATATAACCAATATATCTGTGATTAGGAGGTAGGGTCTTATGATGGACGTATATAGGTTAAGCAATGTTTCAGTTTCTATTGAAGATCTTCTTGTTGGCCGGTAATGGGAGAAGGCTGTCTGAACTGTGTGCCTTTTGTTCTCGTGGGGAACAGGATTTGTCTATTTTTTCAAAAGCTCACTAGTGTTTGGCTAATAGAGATGGGATATAAGTACGCTCCAGTAGAATATCCTTAAGTACGAAAACAGGATGCCTTCTATTTGCATTCCGGATTTTTATCCAGGGATTATGCTGCTTGACATATGGTGGAGCGACAAACTAGCCGAGCTCTTGAAATCTGTCCTACTCCAGCAAAGGGAAAAAAACATACACATAATCGGCATTCGCTAAGTTAAAAATTATTTTACATGCTATGATAAATATTATCAATTGTCATTCAGACAGGGTAAGAATACAAGCACATTAAGAATAAGAAGAGACTATGTAAATCTACCTTAGCATTAAAAAATTGACATTTTCCCTAAGCTGAGCTGAGCTTCCTACTTAATTTAATTTCATTTATTTTTATTCTATTTCAGCTACAAATTCACATTGTATACGATGTTTCGCACACTAATTCAGTATTACCTGCTGCTCTGCGCAGTTCTAAGTCACATCGGTCACCCTGTGGTAACGCAGCGTACAGCATTGGATGTCACTTTTCGTGACCTGTATCGACCGTTGCGTTTGTTCGGTTTGAATTTGGCTGGACGTTCTGGTGATAATGCTGATAATAGACAGTTGGTGCGAGATATGGGTGTAAGTTGATGGAAGAAGAAAAATACAATTAAATAAAACATTCACTGTTAACATTTATGCATAAATCACAGAAAACACAAAATCTCAATACACGCGCTCGTTCGTTAGTAAACTTCTGCGATGCGCTAAATGGGCCCGGAAAGCGCAGCGAAACACGGCCCACCTCAGTGCATCGCTTGCGACCCGGTGATATAGATATTATAGGAGCAATGGGTGATTCGTTGACGGCTGGTAATGGTATTTTCGCCACTAATTTGTTGCATGTCACAGTGGAGAATCGTGGTATGGTATGGAGTATTGGTGGGCAAGGTACGTGGCGGCAGTATTTGACGCTGCCAAATATAATCAAGGAATTCAATCCGAACTTATATGGTTATTCGCTGAAAGATGGAATCTCCACGGATCGTAGTTCGAAGTGAGTAAAATCGGTCGTAGAATGATTTCTGTGGCTCTTATTGAAAATAAATTGTTTGCAAACTAAAATCTATACCTACGTACATAATATAATACTTTACTCTTAAAATGCTACAAATCGTGAATCGCTCTAATAATTTTTCGTTTCACATAAATTACTCAGATTCAATGTCGCCGAGCTGGGTGCTATGTCGCGCGACATACCGTACGAAGCGCAGGTGATTGTCAAACGTATGTCACGTGACCCCAAAGTGAACATGACTGCCGATTGGAAGCTCATCACACTACTCGTTGGTAATAATGATTTTTGCTCTGATGTTTGCTTTCTACCACGACCTGAGGATGCAATTAAAAGGCATGAGGAGAATATGGTGAAAACTTATCGTTATTTGCGTGACAATGTACCACGCCTTATGCTGAATGTAGTACCAGCACCAAGGCTGGACTTTTTGGTGGGCCTTAGCAGTAAGACGCCAGTGTGTCATACTACTCTAACATTTGAATGCCCCTGTTTGGTGGGAAAGCCCAAGCAGCAAGTAGCGAGGATGAAACAATTAATGAAAAAGTGGGCTGCTAAGGATAGGGAGATAGTGAATAGAGCTGAGTTCAATTCGGAGGTGAGTAAAGCAAAAAAAAGAAGATATTTACCATATTGGATATTTATTAGGCAAAAAAAAAATCGTTTAATCACTTTCTGATTCGCAGACATTCACCATCAGTATACAACCATTTACTTTATTTGATGACTTCTTCCCGTCCAGCGATGACGCGGGCAAATTCAAGTTTCTTTCAGAGGACTGTTTCCATCTTAGTCAGCGTGGACATGCTATTAGTAAGTCATTCAGTAATTTCACGGGCACGCTGTGCATTTATTCAATTTATTTTAATACCATAATTACATTTTAAACAGGTGCCAATTATCTGTGGAATAATATGTTGGAAGACGACGACAATAAAAGCATTATGACGGAACCAAGACTGTTGGAGAATTTCCACTGCCCGACAGCGGAACACCCTTATTTTATGACACGCGTCAACAGCCGTAAAGATTTTCAATTGTGACTTTGATTTTGAACTTCGATTAACGGTCGCGAGACGTCACGTTTTATCGATTGATTTCTGGGGGAAAAATGTGAATAATTCAATAATAAAATTCTGTGATAAATTAGATATAAGTACATAGAGCCAATAGTCTTAGTTAGCCATGTGCCGATACATATGCTTACAAATACATTTACATACTACACGTAGAATTGACTTTGCAATAAAAAAACCATAAGTATTTATAAAATAGTCATACATTACGAATAAACGTAAGTACGGGAATAAATAGTTTAAATGCTAGTTAATAATGCAAAATGTAAACGAGATATTTGTAAAATAAATATGTATGTATATGCAATTATTCGAAAAGGAAAACAATAAATTGCGAGGAAATCCATATTTAATTTTGAAAACGCTTAATAAAATATTGAAGGGTTAATTGAATTAGGTTTTTGTGGCGCAACTCCAACATTACATTGTCTATAATGGGGTGAAGGTGACATCGACTGGCATTAAGCCTTTAATAGACCATCGGTTGGAGCGATACCAGATGGAGTGCGATTGCTGTGAGTTGTAGTAGACATTAGTTAGTTAGAATTTTTAGTAATTTTTTTAACTCGATTTTCAAGGTATAGTGGAATTAAAAATGGGGAAACAATAAGGAAGAGAAGAAGAACTTTACATTGAATTGTGTAAGACAGCCAAATGGCAGAAAATAAGAGGAGAAATCAGCTATATTACTTCACCTGCTTATTGCGCCCGGTCTGTTTTAACGACTTGAGAGGACCTTAAGTATATTAATGTTTTTCGGTTAACTTGACACCATAAAAATGAACTCAGAATCCGCAGATAATGCTGTGGGGTATAATTGTCCACAAATGTTATTCTTGCAAATCCTTACACCCCTGTGAGGTTTTGATGCATAAAGTCAGCTCTTCTGTCCAGAGCATATACTATATACAAAGTATGGAGGGAGCACGTTTTCATTCTGTTGAAGGGTAACTGCACTGAAATTAGCACCGACGATTAATCCTAAACCCGTGTCGAAGATGACGGAGCCGGGATCCTACCTCTCGACTATGACGAGGTTCGAATAGCAATTACACCACTAAAAAATGCAATGCTGCCAGCTGAGATATTCAAATACCTATACAGAATATGGTCGGTTGAACGCATGCATTACTACTTGAATTTCTGTAAGTGTGCTCTGCCCAATTCACTGGAACGGTGACCTTGCCATATGCGTCAACTACAGCGGAATAAGCCTTCTGAAACAGCATACCTGTTGCATACCGCCCATTGCACTGTTTTCACATTTCTTTAGTCTGTTCTAAGTTTATATGATTTACGAATAAATCGAAGCAAATTTTTGGGTATCAAAGAGCTCATCTCTGAGCATCGGTACCAAAGTAATCATACCTAAACCTTTCAAAGGGTGGACAGAGACACATAAAGTTTTCTATCGTCTCATTCTTTTCAAGATAGGTAGGGAAAATGGGGATTAAATGTATGTATGCCGATTACCAGTCAGGTGTTTGTGCTACGAGAAGTATCAAGAATTAAGTTTTGCCCGCTTGCAGCCTCTCGAAGCCTCCTAGTCATTGCTGCACGGAAGATGCACTATGACTGAAGGTGTGAGGGATAGAACTGGTTGCGGACTGAGGAATACCTCATCCAAGTCCTCTCTTGCTAAATAGTCCGATGACTCATTACTAGGTACTGCCGAGTGACTTCGCAGCCAGAGGAAAACAAGCAGTTTATATATTCCAGCATAATTTAGACGAGGCTTGCATATCCGAGCCAGTTTGGAAGTAGTTGAAGGGCTTTGACTGTAGCTTGGCTGTCGCGCCAGATACGTAAACTCCTGAGTCACCACGTATATTCCACCACGTAGTCTATGGTCTTGAAAACTGCAAATCCCTCGGATTGAAATATCGAGGCATATTTCCGAAGAGAGAAGTTAGCCCTGTGAGGAACGATTTATGTAGCGTATTTCAGCCAGAGGTAGTTGCCATTAAAGAAGCAGCAGACACAAATATCTACTGTGGCAGAGCTTCAGGTTCGCTGATGATATGATCAAAACTAGTCTGGCACTGAACTATTCACTCGGATTACTTCCACAACAGACTGATTTGGATTCCGAAACACACCGATATTGCAGGAAACTGCCGATGAACTGGTCAGGCTGGACACTTTCGAAGCCATCATCAAGGAAAGGAGGTCGTTGGGTTACCTATGGTAACCTGCTGACTGCTTCTGGACAAATGGGCTCAGCGAACGCTGGGAGGAAACGTCGACAATAAAAGTCCTTTTTTCCGGTAGTTGATTGTGGGCGGTCTAGGCAACTTCTCCAGCATACTAAGCAACAACTTTCGGTTTTGGTGGTGGTTTTGACTGAACACTGCCCAATGGGAATTCATGCGGTAGGTCTTCTCAGCTGTCCTGCCTTTGTGAGGCTCAGGTTTAAGCATCTCGGGTCGTACTTGATAATTACTTCAGAGGGCTCTAGAGTGGACGTCATCTGCTTGCGGAACTTCATAACTTGCACCCAGCGCTTTTCCAGCCTTATTTGATTATCGGTTGTGCCGTTCCAGGATATTCTTTTTCTTTTTAGTGGTAACGCAACGGATATTACAAAATATATCAGCTTTATCCTTCTCCAGAGGCTGACTGGACCTATAAAATTGGCTAAGTGTTTCGGTGTTTTTTAGCTCAAGGCTTATATCGAATTATAACAGGATACGAAACTGTAGGCTGCACTGTCATCTTTGGTAAAAGTCGGATAACATATGTATGTAAAGGATTGGAGCAAAACCATAAAATGAAAAAAAAGAAATTGTTAGTATCAAAGGAACGAGAGAAATCAAAAATCGATGAATTCTAAATGGCAAACCGTTGGCTGGTCAACTTGATTACAAAGCCCGGCACGTTATGTTTGGTAGGTTTTGAAGACTTTTGGAAGGAATTTTTGTAGGAAAAAACATGTCTAAATGGAAACACAGCTTCCAAATTCAAGGGGAAAACGTGATTCTGTTTGAGTAAAGTGCAATCTGCTATAAGGGTTAATATTTAAACTAAAGCAATCAACAATATAGAGGGCTGTTTCATTATTATTTTAATTACGGGTATTCACATTTTTTATTGTATATACTTTGCAACAAATTAAATGTCAAATTGAG